AGTTCCAACTGTCTTGCGGGGGGGGGGGAGTTTGAGGTGCGGAATGAAGTCCAATCAGCTTCCATATGCAAATGACCTTGAAATGCTGGCCCAATCAGAGAAGAGTGGGCTTGAAGCAGCCCAGCTGTAGAAGCCCCGTCCCTGCTCTCAGTCTGCAGATGGTCCTCTCCAGTCAGAGGCCGAGAGCAGACTGAACTGAACACGCTGGCCGGGGCTGACGTGGGCGGGACTACACAAAGCAGCCAGCCAACCCAGCCAGCATCTTCTGACTGACAGTTCAAGCCTCCAAACACTGTTGGTGTGCATTGGAATGTTGGACCCCGCTACGGCTTTATATAAGGGGAGAGATTGTAACACAGAAGCTCATGTGTGAGGAAAATTGATCTGGTGAATTTACATTTCCAAAAGTGCCCACTCTTGCTACATTTATATGCAGTTCTCTGCAGGGTACATATGTGGAGCAAGTCATATATGGGATTAAATGCAGACTTCCAGTTTCAGGTATGCATTGAAATGGATCCAGGCTCCACTGAACCCTATCTAAAATCTGTCCCCATCTTGCTCTAGTTTTGTACATGCAAGAGATATTTTACATGGGCAAACAGTCAAATCTGTGATCCCTATGTGCATTCTAAAATAAAGCAGGCCTTGGAAGCTGTATCAAGCTGTTTCAAATATCAGATTATCTGAATCCTTGAGAATATGACTAGGGAAGAGGTGAAATAAATATATAAAAAAATTGGAGAGGGATCTCCTTCCCACCTGATCCTGCAGGTTTACAGAAACATCTACTCTAGCCCTGGGTACCTCTCCTTGTGGATTCTTTTGATCTGCCCAGGGTAGTATACTTAGCTATTAGATATATGACATCATGACATATATGACATATGACATCAAGCCCTTCATAAAATTGAGTTTCATAAGCAGTTTTGGATGCCAAGATGGTCTGTTCAAAGAAAAAGTCGCAGTCGACTTATGGTGACCACATAGGGTTTTCAAGGCAAGAGATGTTCAGAGGTGGTTTGTCATTGCCTGTCTCTGTGTAATGAGCCTGGTATTCCTTAGTGGTCTCTTATCCAACTACTGACTAGGGCAGACCATGCTTCACTTCCAGGCTGTGGTGAGATTGGGCTAGCCTGGGCTAGCCTGGGCTATCCAGGTCAAGGCAGGAAGCTCTTAGGCTCACCCTAAACCCCTCTATGCAGAAAAAAAACTGATACAGCTGCATTTGAGAAAATAGTGTAAAAATCTACCATGATGTCAGTACTTTTAGTTAAGCTTATGCAAAGAAAACAGTCTGTCTTATTTATAGATCAATCTCCCAGGTGAGTAAATTGCACTGTTCTTGCTTTTTGGTGTCCTCCATTAATAGATGAAACACCAAAGCATTAGGAGACCAGGCACATTAAAAATACAACCTTTAAAGGCAGCTCGATTGTTATCCTCTGCATCAGAATTCCATCTTAATGCTAATGAAATCTCACAAATGTTACATAGCATCCCCTGCAGAGTCTTCTTCGCTCTGTTGTGGCTCTGCATTTGAATGCTTAATATAGCCCCAGGCAAGTAAGCCTTCAAAAATGAGTTCTTGGTTAACAGTTAAGAAGCTTTCTCGGTAAAGAACATTTCATTAAGATTAACTGTTGCTTCTGCCCTTGCTGGTAGATGGGCTTAGTTAAGAGATTCCAACCCCCCCCCCCCCAATATCCTGTTGGGAGGTTGGAGATACATTATGAAAATGTATTAAGCGTTTTTCGTTGTTTGTTCCCTTCCCTTGTATTCCAGTGATACAAATGAGGTGGACATCCCACCAAATACCAGAGTGGGAACTAAACGTTATATGCCTCCTGAAGTTTTGGATGAAAGCCTGAATCGGAATCATTTCCAGTCATACATCATGGCCGACATGTATAGTTTTGGGCTCATCCTTTGGGAAATAGCAAGAAGATGTGTTTCAGGAGGTAAATGGTTAAAGCGTTGAGTCTTGTCTTTCTCCATCAAATTATTTCTATTCACCTATTACGCACACACACTCATGCATACGCAAACCACTAATCTATTAAAAAGCATTGGCAGCCCTAAACGTATTTATTTCCATTTCCTTCTGCTGGGACTTATTTTTCTGGTTCTGTAAGTCCCCCTTTAGCTGCAAAGACTTATCCTCTGTTTTAATAGTCTCTTTAAAGATGCAATGCTTCATAATTGTAGTGGGAATTAGGAGCTCATTTATGGGCACTTCCAGAGTTATAAACATTACTGCTAAAACAGGAGAGATCTCCTGTTGTTTATGTAGAAATACAATGGGGTTGATTTTTGCTTAGGTACCCTGATTAACAAAGAGATTACTTAGATTTAAGTGCAGAAAAACAGGCATTAGCAGGTGTTAGGAAGAATTAGGGAAACTATAGGGGGGAGTAAGGCAGTTCTTGTTTAAAATTAATTCCAGAGCTAAGGAGATTGGCAGTTCTAAGCCATCTTCTCTATTTTCTTCCTTTTTTAAAAAAAAATGATATTTGCTGTATAGCTTTGCAGAGCTTTCCTTTAGCCCTCTAAAATGGCAATACAGAGATTTCATCTCCTAAACTTAAGAGTATTTAAACAAGCAGGTTAGGTTTCACTGTCACCCTGGAGAAGCTTAGGGGCAGGCATGGCTCACGGTCTGAGGCCTGTGTGGTGTGCCAAACCTCACCCAGAAGACTTGTGAAGTAATAATAGAACAATTAATAGAGCAATAACGGAGTAATTCCATTCTTTTCTTTTACCACTGATCTACTACAGTCTGCAAGAATTAGGAGTAATAGTTTCCAAGTCAAGGGTTGAAGGTTCTCAGCTGGCTTGATTTAAAATTAAGCCTTTTGGAGTACCCAGTGAACCCAGATTGTGCATTTGTGAGCCTTCTGCACACAAGCATTTTGCATGTTGACTGAACACACCGAGAGGGAGAGTGGGCCTCAGCATGCTGACACTGCTCCCCAGTCCTACATGACTGGCGACATTTGCAGGTATACTGTATCAGTTTGGCTTCTCCCAACTGCCATGAACCTACTGCCCAATGAATAAATTTCCTCACTTGGATTTTCATCAACTGGACTTCTTGAACCCTCATTAACTTTTCGTTGAGTAATATTGAGGTAATTAGTGAACATATCTTTTCAGGTATTGTTGAAGAATACCAGCTTCCATACCATGACCTCGTGCCCAGTGACCCTTCCTATGAAGACATGAGGGAAATTGTGTGTATGAAGAAGTTACGGCCCTCATTTCCCAACAGGTGGAGCAGTGATGAGGTAAGGGGACTTTACATATGGAGCAGGTAGACTGACCCCATAGTCACCTAGTTTAACCCGAAATGAGTTGGCAGGCTTTTCGAAGGTAGAGGAATACATAAATCAGACACTGCCTTTGCTGTTGGTGATTCATGGGTACCAATAAATACTTTTAGGAAAGCCATAAAAAATGTGGGTTACTGTAGGGTTGTTAAATGGAAGTGAATAGTTTGAGAAATCTTGGAGAACCGAAGTAGTTGTAGTAGTAGTTTTTAAAGTACAGTAATACTTAAAATAATAGATCTGTATTGTTATTCCCAGTGTGGCATAGTGGTTACAGTATCAGACTAGGACCTGAGAGACCCAGGTTCAATTCCCAACTCTGCCATTGAAGTTTGCTTGGTGATAATGGACCAGTCGCATTCTTTCAGCTCAACCTACCACACCGGGTTCTGAGGATAAAATGGAGGACAGGAAAACAGTGTCAACTGCTTTGTTGTCCCTATTGATAATAAAGGCAAGATATAAATGAAGCAAATAAATAAATATATATTGAAGATGGAAGAATCGGGGGGGTTATTTACCTGAGGGCCAAACTTTCCCCCCCTTCTCTTCCCACATTGTGGGACATGGGCTTGTTTGGTTTTCTTTTCCCCCATCAGGACCCTTGTATCAGATCCAGCATGCCTATGTACTAGCCTGTGCACAGACATAGTTAACAATGTCCTGCTGCAGCTATGTCCCATTTCTTCTGCCATCACTGCAGAAATCCCTACTGGCTTTTTCCATGTACACTGACATTGCTTCATGGAATCCCAGATCCAGAAATGGTCACCTGCAGGGAAACAAGAGGCCAGCTTGTGTATGGGAGACATGCAGAGGCAAATAAATGCCCACTAAAAAGTTTTCTGATTGCAGTGTCGTAATGCTGTTGAGATGGCACCTTGATGCTGTAGGTTATGTTTTACAGCTTCAGTGTTTACAGGCAGGATGTTAATGTATTTGTCTTATCTCTGCTGTCTCCTTCTTTAAAAACTGGGTCAACATATTGATCTGCCCTTTAAAACCACATTGCTATCTATAGGTTGTTAGTGAGAGCCAGAATCCTTAAATGTTTTAAATTCACCGGAATTTGCTTCAGTTCTTGGCTGGCAGACCATAGCAACTCAGGACTTAGAATGGACTTGTGCCAAAGGCCTATTCTGCTTGAGGGGAAGTTTTGTGGATGCCTTTTGCTTCACACTCAAGGTACAGCTGAGTCTCTTGACTGTGAATTTTTACTCAGGAACAATGGGTTAGTGAGCACCTAGATTCTCCTAGTCCAGTTGCTTTTTAATGGCTTGATCTCTTGAACCAGGCAAGTTCAACCCTAATAGGAAGCCAGGAAGTCGGACTAGATTACCTTTAAGATTTGTGGCTCTGCAGAAGCCTCCATGAGCTCCGGTGTACAACATGGAAAAGATGGCAACTGAGCATTTTTGTACTGTGGGATTTGTGGTGTGTACCAGCCTTGTAAAAGTTATGCCCCCATGTGTGCAGTATACAACCCCCCCCAGTGATAAGCTCTTGGTATCAACACAGCCTCTCTGGTCAAAGAGACAGTGAAATCCCATGCACAAGTCTTTCACCCCCCATGTGTGTCCTCCCATTTCCCACCATTTGTAAATGCATATAGGAAATGGCTTCTCAAATCTGTACTGGTATTTTCCTTTAGGGGAAGGAGGAAGTTGTCTGAACACTTTCCACTGAGAATTTATAATGAAGCAAAATTGTGTTTTGGAATCAGTAGACCCGTAATTGATGTACCGCAGACAAATCTGCCGACAGTTATGGCGATGCTATGCAGAGGTCATTAATCTTGTTAAGTGGTACAGTGTAATGCTATTATTGTAGGAGACAGCTGTGATTTGGGAATAGCTGTCTTCGCTTAAGTATTCTGCAATTAGATTTAAAAAAGACTTAAATGGCAAGAGTTGTAAACAATTTTGAGTGTGTGTGGGGGGGGAGGGCCTGGGGAAGGATTACGAAAGAAAGCTGTACCAAAGCAGGTGGTGAAAATTTGGTATTTGGGGCATTTATGCCTTGAATTAGAGACATGCTTGCTGCCCATAACTACTGACTACAGTAGGATGTCATGACACATGATAATATACTCAAGGTCACTCTGTTGTGTTTTTCAAAATATTCTCAAATGAAATTTGGCAGGAAAGCACCAGGTACTTTGTGTACCTGCCTAACCAGATGAGCTTATCTGGCTCTTTCCTTATCTATAGTGCCCAAAGAAGGGTTTATCTCCCAAAGAGGGATTGACTGTAGCTGCATGCCGCACGCAGTTGTTCAGCTGCTAGGTTGAAATCTAGTAGCATCTTAGAGACCAACAAAATTTGGGGGGGGGGGTATGAGCTTTTGAGAGTTAAAAACTTGGTTCATCGCATCTGACACAGGGAGCTTTGACTCTCAAAAGCTCATACCCACCCCCCAAATTTTGTTGGTCTCTAAGGTGCGATGGGATTCAAATCTAGCTCTTCTACTGCAGACCAAAGCGGCTACCCTCTGAAACAGTTGTTTAAGCCAGCCTTAAAAAACAAAAAACAAAACCTTCCTATCTCAATTTGTGTCTGGTACCTGCCTTGATTCCTATGTGGGAACACAGTTCTATGCTAGTTGAAATTCTGTGATGCTCACAATGAAGGAAAAACATGGATCAGACCAGACACATGGTACCTTATCCTGTCATGTGCCTTGCACTGAATAGACATGGCCAAAAGGAAGCTGTGAAGCTGCATCACATGGGTGTCGGTCCCATCCTGCTAGTGTAACATGTGAATTGTGGCATATTTTGGTGAAGTGAATGTATAATAGACACTGTTGTTCTTCTAGAATGAATACATGAAGCTGCCTTATACTAATCCATCAAGGTCATTACTGTCTACTCTTAACTGGCAGTTGTTCTCCAGGGTCTCAGGTGGAGGTCCTTTGCACCACCTACGACCTGATTCTTTTAACTGGAAATACCAGGGATTGAACTTGGTATGTTCTGCATGCCAAGCAGATGCTCTACCACTGAGCTATGGCCTCTACCCAAATGAGATGCTTTAAAATGCCCCAATGTGGAGCAGTGCAACCTCCAAAGAAGTAGGAGAGATGCTCTGGGTAGCCAGGCAGTCTATTTATTTTTTTCACAGTTTGAATCCATCCTTGAAAAGACATGACCAGATTTCACTCTCATAACTCTTCTCAGCTAATCTCAGTTTCTAGACCGGGCAACCTCTATATTTATGATCGATTTGGGTCCTCAGTTGGCCCTCTAAGACTCAAGTTGTCCCCTAATCCAGCAGTCCCTAACCTTTTTGGTATGGTGACTCACAAGTCAAAATTTACTTGGTATGGTAACCCATCCAGGACTGGCCCCAGGTTTTTTTGGTGGCCTAGGCAAACTATGACCTTGGCACCCATCTAGTTCAGGATTCAGTTTTCTGTAGTGGCTAACCAGATGTTTTTGAGAAACCAACAAACCATCAAAGGGCACAGCTGCCACCAGTATGAACCCCAAGCAGCCAAACAGTTATTATGGAGGGCCAACAGCAGGGCATAGAGGCCATGGCCTTCTCTGGATGTTGCCTCCTGGCCCTGGTATTCAAAGGCTGGGGTGGGCACTGGATGGAATCTTGCCAAGGTCTCCAGCTGGTCCTGGGTGGATCAAGCAGCAGCATGGGTGGGAGGCTGGAACAAGTTCTCGTGTGACCTTGCCTTATATGGGGAGACTACAAGCACTGAAGGTACAAACAGAACTACAGACCCGCTAATGCTTCTTGTCTATGCACAGGTGGATATTCTGATTTTAGTGAATATTATTCATCAAGTTCAACATATAGGATACATCCAACAAAGATTTTTATGTTCTTTCTTTCTTTCTTTCTTTCTTTCTTTCTTTTTTTTATGTTCTTTCTTTCTTTCTTTCTTTCTTTCTTTCTTTCTTTCTTTCTTTCTTTCTTTCTTTCAGTGCCTAAGACAAATGGGCAAGCTCATGACAGAATGCTGGGCTCACAACCCTGCTTCCCGGCTCACAGCTCTACGGGTAAAGAAAACACTTGCCAAAATGTCAGAGTCACAGGACATTAAGCTCTGATTCAGATGACAAAAGACACCTCTATTGCTAAAGCTCAGAAAAATGGACTTTCCTTCATGTTTCCAAGAGACAGGAAGAGGAATGACAAGCCTTCGTTAATATCAACCTTGAACGCAGTCCTTCAGCCAAAGCATCTGTATGTTGACACAGGAAGCTTTTCTGGAGCCCCAAGGAGGATCGTATCAACACCTGCTTCAAGATAATGCATGCTGCTTTCTATGGAAGCCCATAATAATATTATTATTATGACTATTATTATTTAGGTTGTTTAAATTTTATGAAAATGAACCTTTGAAGTACGAAAGTACAGAAATAATTATATTGTTACATTAAAGGGGGGAAAATCAAAGAAATCTCATCGGAAGTTTAAAGCAAAGTGGCAATTATTTCCCATTGAGTTATTGCACTCTACAACAAAGTACCTGCTGTGTTCTGAAATGAAAGGAAGGTACAATAGAAACAGGCTTATAAGTGATCTGCTAGTTGCATTTGATGTAAGTTGTGCCTCTTCTAAAGACAACGTACCCAATGTTATGTGAGTTGCTGTTAAGCCATATGACTCATACAATATCGCTCTGCTGATGTCCCCTGTGCGTAAGCCTCAATGAAGGACTGGCTGTACCTTTGTAGCACCCGCAGTCATTTCCAGGGCACTGGTGCAGGAGATGTGCTGCCCAGTGGGATATGGCCAGAGCCTGGTGTTTCTCAGATCTCAAAAGCCATGGGCCAGCAGGGAGAGTTAGAATGGCAGGAGAATAATGAAGACATGAAGTAAGCCCCAGCATTTTCAAGCGCCTATACTCCTTTCCATTTGTCACCCTCATTCCTGTTTGTTTTAAAGAAGAGTTGTTGTTGAGAGTTATTGCAGAAGGAGCTTCATGTTTTTCAATTTCTTGCTTCATTTTTGCTCTTGCCCATATTCCCACTGCATTTCTTGAAAGAGGAGAACCTACCCGAACTTTTCTAAAAAATATTGTGATTTACCGCCCCCCAAACAAATGGGTGTATTGTTGGTTTATCTCTCTGTAATTGTATTCATAGAAGCACCCTGTGATTTGGGCTAAAATTCCGAGCATTGTGAGGGTGCTTCTCTGCAGGCACTAGTATTTATTGGGGTGGGGGAGTTCCCTTCCTGCAGCAGCCCCCATGCTTCCAAATGGTTTCTGATGAGTAGTACACGTCTGAAGCTTGAAGGAAAAGTCCATGCGCAAGGGCCAAAGTGCACACTTATGGGGCTGTTTTGATTCCATCTTTGCTTGAAGATCTCCTGTGCCATCAGTGGTAATTCTTTCTCAAGGATCTTGTGTTTCCTTTGATGTAAGGTCTCCCAGTTAAAATGTGTCTGTAATGTACAAGTCCCCAGTTATAGTTAAATTGTAATATTTACCCCCCTCAAAAAAAAACCCCAAACATTCACTGCTAACCATACTAGGAGTTTTCTAATATGCCTAGAATTTTCAGTGTAAAGTTCACCAGAGCAGCTATTGGGCAGTTTTGCTGCTCACATTGGACTCGGGTCAAGAACGTGGACTAGGATCACATTGGTAAGCAGGGTCGAGAAAATGAGCTTTTGAAATGGGAACGTTATCATTTGAAGGACCTTTTGTAAGGACTGTTGTGCCTCTAGGGGTCACTGTGCAGCTTCTGATTCTGAAAGTCCTGGCATCAGTAGGTCGTAAAAAAGAAAAAGCCGCAGGTTGGATTCCAGAAGTACAGCCATTAGGCATTCTCCCCTGCTTTGCAAGGTTAGTGGACATCAAAGGTTTAAAAATATTGGGGACAGAGCAGTGTGTGTGAAGTGAAACACTTTGGTGTGATAAGCTGGAAGTGGGAAAAGTGTAATTGGTAGTTAGAGCTTGTTTCAGACTCTGACTTCAGAGAGGAATACTGATATGTATTGGATATCTGCTTGCCCTAGTCTTTTGCAGGGGAGAGTTTGGATGATATTAAGGCATTTCTGTGCCCTCTGGCAGGGGGACCATCTATAAAGACTTCTTGTTAAAGAACAGTCACGAACCTTTCCTCCGCTTGTGAATCTGAATAGACCACCTACTGCATTCAGTTAAGCATAGGAGAGTCTCATTGATTTGGGGCTAATATATAGGCTATTCCGAGGGCAATTTGACTTGTGAAGCTATTAGTTGCTACTACATGTACATTTCTGTTCCAAAGTAGAAATCAATCATGCACAAAGCCCGCTTCTTCTTAAGATATAGGGCGATTTCTCACTAGAGCTGCCTCGCAGCACAGCGCCGTTTGCCCCGTCACAAACATGTCAATTTCACACCCGAAGCTCCGGGGCTGTGTTTTGACTCGGGGCTTCACCCGATTTCCTCCACAGTTTTGTGATCCTGGTTTTTGAGGATCATGAAACTGCGGAGGAAATCGGGAGAAGCCCTGAGTCAAATGCAGCCCTGCAGCCTCGGGTGTGAAATTGACATGTTTGTGACGGGGCAAACGGCGCTGTGCTGCGAGGCAGCTCTAGTGAGAAATCGCCCATATTCTCCTCCTCTTGGGTGCCTTACATCTTAACAGCTGGCACCATAAATTCCCAATGCTGTGATTGGTGATTAGCTAATGGAGGCTAAGAAAAGCCCAAAGAGATTCTGACCTGCATGAGATTGAGAACAAGTCGACCCATTTGGGATTTTGCCATATCATAAAAGTGTGTTCCCCGATTCTGCTCTTTTACTGAACAGTCCCAACGTTCAAGACAAAACCACATAAGTGTTTTCCCCCCTAATTTGCTTAAAAACAGAATGCCCCGTTCTATCCCCCCAGTATGTTGCTGTCATTCTTTCATAGTTTCATCCAGACATAGTTACCCTGATTTACTTGGGCAGCAGTAAAGGACAGAAAACTGTTTAACCAACTTCGGGTGAATCCCACCTGGTATTATATGAATGAGGGATACAGTGAAGTTCAGGGTCAGTTATGAGGGATACTTAAACAAATATACAGTTAACTGCTCAGCAACAAAAGTATTTTCAGCATATGCTTGAGGGTCTTCAAGACATCACAAAAGAGTCAGTGAGTAAAAGCCTATGATGTACCAAACACATGAAATCATGTTGACCAAAAACTGTGGGCAATCTCAGTTATGCTGTCATCATCCTTTCCCTGCCATAGAAATTCCCCACTGTATCTTCCTGTACCTTGTAGCTTGTTCAAATTTGAGAAGACCCAGAAGGCACAGGTTTTGCCAATTATGATAAACCAAAAGATGATGTATCCTGAGATCACATCTGTCCAATTCTGGTTTCTGAGAAAAACTGGTTCTAACCAGCAGGCATTATCTTCTTAGAGTATGGTAAAATGTGGATAGATTCATGTTGCTGTTCAGTGTGTGATAAAGCTTGCTTTTCTGTTTGTCCAGTTCGCAACCCATATTAACCAGGCCATTTCAGCGTCTCCAAAGTGCTTTAGCAATGGTGAAATAAATAGATGATGAAAAATGGACTTGCAATTAACCAGCTGGATGATTGCATTGCCATCAGCTAAACTGCAATAGGAAATCAAATGAATCCACATTTTACATTCCAAGAGTTCTTCAGAGTCCTAAAATTTTGATTTCCCGCAAAAACAAGTAGGCGTGTTAAGCCAAATCCTTGTGTTGTTGTTAGAGCCATGTGTATTTTGGGCTTTCCGTTGTTATAGCTTGAGACAGTTTCTTCAGAGAATACAAAGCAAAGTTTCAAAAAGATGGCCATACAGCTCCAAGTTTCTGAATTTCCATATTTTAAGATGTAAAAGTGTTTCATTTATAGACACCAAAATAAAGGCAAGATGCCAGGTGGTAGGCCATATAACTTTTTCTTTTGTTCAGGCTTTCATAATTTTTTTTTTGGGGGGGAGGAAATTGTGTGTACGTTTTATAATATAATTTTGAGCTGGGAGTCTGGAGCTACTCCATTTAAGTGGATTAAGAGAAATATTACAGATGATAAAGCACTAAATGAAACCTATTTATTTATGAAAACTTGTAGTTGACCATTCACAGTGATATGAGAAAAAATGGGACATTAACACTGAGATGACAAGGGCAGAGAAAAATCTTTTTTGTTTGCTTCTGTTTTCCTAGAAAACTTGAAGGGTCATTTTCTCTCTCTCACTAAACAAAAATTATGCCTCATGGGTGTTTCAATGGACAGTCTGTGTTCACAAAAGAATCTGGTTGGTTCATGACAAAATGAATGTCACTTATTCATGGACTCATGTGCTTCCTTCCTCCTTCCTTGACATGCAGAGCTGAAATGTGACTCTTTCTCATTCAGGAAGTCCTCATCTAACCACTATTTGCATTGGCACCTAATTTGGACCATATGAGAAAATCTCATATTGTAAGCCTTCTTGAAAATCCTAGCTGGTAGATAAGATACAACCAGCTAGCACTAGACCATCCTTTAGAATCTAAGTGTTGAGATAAGAAATAAACTACAGTTTTTTAGTGCAACCCAGTTTGGATCTTGCGACAAGCTCTGGTTTCTTTCAAACCAGGAATTTTTAAACAGCTCCATTTGCAAAGGAGAGAAGGAGGGAGCCTGCAAGTCTGGGAACAAACCGTTGTTTGTGCTGTGTGAATGCAGCTAATGTCTCCAGCTGCAGTTTGGGTTTAGCACTAACATTTGACTTACCACAGTGCTACTCATGCAGACTGGCAAGCTCTTTTCCAGTGATGAATTGAGTGTCATTCTAGGCTTACCAAGGTCCGGCGGGGGATTTGTATTTCTTGTCAGGAGCCTTGCCGCGGGGACGGCTGCACCCGCTGCACCCGCCGTCACCAGGATGTGATGCTCCGTGTCGCTCTGGCAACGGGGCTGTTTGGAGTCCCGTTGCCAGAGCGACACGGAGCATCACATCCCGCCGGACCTTGGTAAGCCTATGTCATTCACATTTGTAAGGGCCATTAAAATGATGTCATTTCCTGCTGGTCATTATGCTCAGAATTTACCTTACTTCAGACTTCATCAAATGACTGTCCAAGTGAATAGTTATACATGGGTACTTGTGAAAAGATCAGAAGTTTGAAAAACACTTTTCAGGGGAAAGTATTGTAAAACATGCAGCGTTTCTATGAATGGCAGGTACAGTGGGAAGAGAAAGCTTCAAGAAGGATGATCTGGCAACTATTATATTAGCCCTTTGCTGGCACAGCACATGTTATTTCTTTTGAAGAAAGGTTGGCAATGTAATTTTTTTTAATTATAATGATTTGTGTTCTTTTTTGAGAACCAGTGCCTTATTCAATCTGTAAATAGTATAATTGTAAAAACTAGGGAACAAGCCTATGTTGTAATTGTTTGATGTTCGAGATGGTATATGTCTGTTTTTAACATTCCCCCAATAAAATGTTTTCAATTCCCCGTTAAAAGATAAACTGTCTTTTCAAATAGTTTGGCTTCTTTGAATCCTGCAGCATTATTTAACACCCATACACATTTTGATTATCGAACGCATATTTATGAAACCTTCCGCATGTGATGGGCCAAGAGAGAAGTGCACCGTTGTTTTCAATGTTCCCCACTAGCGTCAAATAAGTTCCAGTGGATGATCTAGTCTATTTGTCCCAGCTTTGGTTGTCCTTTCTCACAGCTGTCGCAAGTTGAAACCAAAGTACGGATTATAGCACTCTAGCATTCCAGATGCTTTCATGTATGTTTGCCTCTAGGAGCACAGGGCAAGAGAGCCAAGGAGGGTTATTAGTCCCCACCCTGTGTCATAAAGAGGCCATCAGGTCTTCCTGCTCCCATCCAGGGTCTCACAATGTCCTGCCAGTTGTGGCATCCAGGCTGTGAGTTCATTGCCTGTCCCCCAGCACCCAAATTTATGCTTCCTGCAGAGCCCCAAGGCCATTTCTCCCAATGGTGGAATGCAGCTTTGTAGCCTACACCAGTGTCAGGTTACCTCTCAGAGAAGCTAATAATTGCTTTGTGAGAACAAGAGTAGAGAACGAAGTGGGGGCCTGCAAAGAATCATGGGAGTAAGCACTGATCTGGAAATCTGCACCCATCACAGTTTCACAGTTCAGGCATTTATGTGCTCTATCCCCTTTTTCCTGTTTACTGATGTTTTGTAGCATCAGTTAAGTCAGTAGCAACTCTCATTCAGTTTTGATTTGTCATTTTCTAACCTAATTATCCATTGTTCTTTTATTCCCCCCCTTACTTTACAAAAACAAATTTCTGCACATGGGGAATCCTGAGGGGCCATTCTCCGAGGTGGCCCTGTTTCTGCGGCTTTCGTTATCCAGACAGAGACCGACAGAGACTAACAGAATGCTACAAATTCAAGCAAACAGATGAAGAGTTCCATTTTTACTTGAAGTGCACTGAAAACTTAAACCTATAAAAGTTAACCTTTATTTGATAGGTTACTTAAAGCATTTCTCTTTAGAATACTTTCCAGTACGGTAGAGTGGAAATTTCCCAGGTTCACAACACACACTGGGGACTCTGCTTAGGCTTATTTATCTTTGGGGAGCATGATAAAACGTATTGTACTCCACAAAGTGGACGGTTATAACAGGCAAGTTTGGAAATAACAAAGTCCCTTTCCTCTGCCCAGTTGCCATGTTCCTTAGAAGGGCATAGTCTTTTGAGGCCAACGTTAAGAGGATTGTGTATGAGCCCTGACGTCCAGCTTAAGCTTGCATTCAGAGGGCCTGTAGCAATAATATTTTGCATATTTCTAGCTGATTTGAAGGTGCATATTTTATGGGTGCATTTTTTAATTTATCACCTGCTGCTTCCCACAGGCAGTTATAGTTTTTGTGTTCTATTTAACTGCCATATTTTATTGTATTTTTCTGTTGCCAGTAGTCACTTCATGTTTCAACCATGTTCTGACAGCAATTGAACATTGTTGCTTAGGAAGGTCTGCATAATGGACAAAATAGATCAAACAACAGTGTGACATATTCACTATCACAGGGAAGACTGGATTCTCGGTCTTCTCATTTCTTTGTCTTGTGTTACAGCTGCTTCTAGGTGATGTGAGCATTTGTAGGTGGGTGGTGGAATGCACATCTCCAGGTTACCATCACATGTCCCACCTGTGAGCCCTCTAATCTTAACAGCTGAATGATAAACAGAAATTCAACATGTGCAGATTTTCTTGCTACGGACTTTCAGGGATAGGAATCCATTCACTTTTTATATTTCTGCACTCCTGCAGTTTGTCCTTCTAAGCTGTGGAGTCTTGTGAGCAAAAATTCTACCTTGTGAGCTACTGGCATTAAAGTTGTGAGCGAGCTATTT